TAAAGATTTTATTTATTTTATTTTTTCCCCCCAAAGCCCCAGTAGATAGTTGTATGTCATAGCTGCACATCCTTCTAGTTGCTGTATGTGGGACTCGGCCCCAGGATGGCCGGAGAAGTGGTGCCTCGATGTGCACCTGGGATCCGAACCCGGGCCACCAGCATTGCAGCGCGCACACTTAACCACCAAGCCACAGGGCCGGCCCTAAAAATTATTTCTTGAAGTATAATTTACATACAACAAAATGCACAGATCTTAAGTGCTCGCTCAATGATTAAAAAATCAATTTAAGTGCTTGTTCAATTATAAAAAACTGGCAACTGCGTGTGCCTGCGTAACCACCACCCCAAACAAGATGGAAAATATATCCATCATTCCAGAGAATTATTTCAAATCACCCCACTTCCCTCCTCTCTCCTCATTTTCTGACTTCTATCAGCATAGATGAGTTTGCCTGCTCTCAGACTTTAAATAATGGCTAATTGAGTATCCATTCTTTTGTGTCTGGCTTCTTTTATTCAACGTGTTTCTGAGATTCATCCATGTCACTGAGTGTTATCAATAGTTTTTTCTTTTTATTGATGAGTAGTATTTCACTGCATGAATATACTACAAATTGTTTATCCATTCTCTTGTTGATGGATATCTGGGATGTTTCCAGGTTTGAGCTATTATGAATAAGGCTGTCATGATCATTCAGGTAAAATCTTTTTGGGAATAAATGTTTTCATTTCTCTTGAGAAAATACCTCATAGGAAACTGCCAAAAGTGCTCCAAAGTGCTCACATAATTTTACATCCCCACCAACAAGGGCAAGTTCCAGTTGCTCTACAATTCCACCAAACTTGGGTATTGTCAGTGTATTTGACTTTAGCCCTTCTAGGGAGTAGGAATCACTGTAGTGATGACTAATGATAAGCACCTTTTCATGTTCTTATTGGCTATTGTTTTATCTTCTTTTGTAAAATATCTGTTCAAGTCCTCTGGCAAATACTTTTATTGAGGTATAATTTATATATCATAAAAGTCATATGTTTTAAGTGTACAATTCAGTGATTTTTAATAATTTACTGAGTTGTGCAACCATTACCACAATCCAGTTTTAGAACATTTCCATCACCCCAATAAGATCCCTTGCGCTGTTTACAGTTAATCTCTATTCCCATCCTCAGCACCGGGTAACCACTAATCTACTTTGTCTCTACAGATTTGCCTATTCTAGACATTTCATACGAAAGAAATCATAAAATAGCTGGTCTTTTGTGTCTAGTTTCTTTCACTTAGCCTAACATTTTTGAGGTTCGTTCATGTTGTAGCATGTATAGTATTTCATTTCTTTCTATTGCTGAACAGTATTCCATTATATGATTATACCATATTTTATTTATCCATACATTCGTTGATGGACATTTGGGTTGTTTCCACTTTTTAGCTATTATGAATGTTGCTCCTATGAATATTTACATGCAAGTCTTTGTATGAACATAAGTTTTCATTCTTCTTGGGTAGATATCTAGGAGTGGAACTGCTAGGTAATATTGTAAATTTATATTTAAGCTTTTAAGAAACTGCCAAACTGCTTTCCAAAGCAGTTGTACCATTTTATATTCTGCCCAGCAATGTACAAGGGTTACTGTTTCTCCCCATCTTTGCTAATCCCAAAGTCATGAAGATACTCTCCTAAGTTTTCTTCCAAAAGCTTTTGTGATTAGGTTTTTGATCCATCTGAAATTAATTTTTGTGTTTGAAGTGAGGTGTAGTTGAAGTTCATTTTTCCTTATGAACATCCAGTTGTTCCAGCACCATTTGTTAAAGATATTTTTCTTCCCTCATCGAATTGACTTGGCACCTTGGCTGCAAATTAAGTGATCACATATGTGCGTATCTATTTCTGGATTCTCTATCCTGATCTATTTGTCAATCCTTATGCCAATATCACACTGTCTTGATTATTGTAGCTTTATAGTAAGTCTTCAAATCTGGTAGCCTAAATCCTTTACCTTTGTCCGTTTTTAAGATTGTTTGGCTAACTAGAGCCTTTGTTTTCCATACATATTTTAGAATCAGCTTGTCAATTTCTTCAAAATAGACTTCTAGGATTTTGATTGGGATTGTATTGAATCTAGAAATCAATTTAGGGAGAATGAACATCATTAACAATATTATGTCATCCAATCTAGGAACACAGTATGTCTCTTCAATTATTTTAGGTCTTCATTAATTTCTTTCAGTGATGTTTTGTAGTTTTTAGTGTAAAGGACTTGCACATCTTCCAGTAGATTTGCTCCAAGGTATCTATTTTTTTTATATCATTGCAAATATAATTTTAAATAATTCCATTTTCCAATTGTTTGTTCCTAGAAATATTCTTAATATTGGAACCATGCTGAACCAAATTTGTGTTAATTCTGTTTAATATTTTTATAAATTGGAATTCAATCTATAGGAGGACTACTGGAACCTCATTCTAAGCCCCTCATTTTTTAACCAAGGTAAATAATTTCTGACGACTGATACAAAATGAACGCAAATTTTATTCATCTGCACCCTATACTCAAGAAGGCATAGCAAACAATTTTGGTTGGGGAAAATTCTATACTTATTTGTAAGACTAGACCATTACACAGAACCTGTAATATACAAGACAGACAAGTATTATTATCTAATGATTCTTAGAGAAATAATTTTTCTACTAAGCAGTTAAAATTGTGTGTGGGTTAAGGGTGGGGTGGGGGTATATTAGAGAATTTCATGGAGTCTCTACTGTTGCTCTAAATGGCTACTACAGATACAAGTATATCTATCCTAGTGATACTAAATTAAATATATTTTTGAAGGCTCAATAGGAATGATGAGGCTACCCTCTGGTTGAGAATGTACCTAATTTATTAATATATTTATTTAGAATTTTAACAGTTTGTCTTTAAAACAAATGTTTAAAAAAAGGGCAAATTTACTTTTATTAAGATTTTTTTTTAAGGATTTAACTGTATAATCCTTAAAAAGAGAGAAATAAAGTCTCTCATAAAATTAGATGCAATGACATAATGACCAGAGTCGGTTGATTATGATATCCACCCGCTGCTATGTGCTTATGCACGTGATAGTTTGTTTAGGGTATTGGAAAACTCACTATCTAAGCAAGAAGAGCAAGCAGGGATTAAAAGAATAAGTACGGTATAAAAGGTTTCTGAATCTCTACCTCCATCTTCACAGTCTTCAGGTGCTTTGGCTTTCTTACAAAGACGAGGATCCAACCAGGTGGTTGTCTTGGTATTGTGGCTGTAGAATAAAGATTTCAATTAGAAATAGTAAAGAGGGAGAAAAGTATTTCAAAAGCCAAGACTAAAAGTGACTAGAAGGTACATGATGTTTGAACATTTATCTCCTTCAAGCTCCGTTTGTAGACCTCTGATTCAATAATCCTATTGCTCTCCCTCTGTTACTTCAAAACTGCCATAAAGGAAAGGTAATGCTTGAGGCACTAATTTGAGAATGAAGACTCTAAGGAAGGGATGAAATGCCAAGTACAGAATAAATATACCTACTGAAGCAGTCAAAATGTTTCAAAGGGTGAGCACATAGCCCCACACTGTGCACTAAGTTAGCTGAAAAAGCTGCTTGAAAACCTTGTTTGCTTGCTGGCTGAATTCCTTCCTCCCTCCCTTCAAAAAACACCATATTTCTTAAATGCCTATGATGTGTGGGCACTGTGCTGGGGGCTGGGGATATAAAGATAGAGTCTCTGCCCTCACAGGGGCTCTTTAAAATAAAATAAAGTTACATAAAATTTAAGTTTTAAAGTGTCTGTTTCTGCAACATGCAAGCAAAAATGATGGGTCTAGTTAAACTCAACTCTACAAAACTAAGTTTTCATCAGTATGGACCATATATTGAACAGAAAAAAAAACATAGAACAAAAAATACCCCCCACACCCCTTTTTATGTAGTAGGCCACAGATGCTTTCAAAGAGCAGTGTCTGTTTAATTTCATTATAGGTTACAATCAGTTAGCTTCAGACCAAGTCACCATGCAGCAGATCTAATGCTAAAACAAAACTACTACACTGCTGAGTAGACAAACAGCGTTATAGTTAAGTATCTGAAATATGAGGATATTAAAGAAAGAAAAAATCATAGAAGAAAATATACAGGAAGGCAAAAAAATGTAAATTAAAGTTATTATCAAAGTACCGTGAGAGTAACAATGTAAACAAATTATCTTTTCTTGGTGTCTTTAACATCAGATTAACTCACTAACCTCTACATTTCCTGACCCACTCAGGAAATGAAGCCAACAGTTTCAGGGAATTAATCATATCTTCTGTACCTTTTCTCTAACTCCTGAGCTATTCACAGAGCTAGCTATGCAGCCCCTTCTTACACACTGCCAGGTATGATACTAGTTGGTAGAGTGTAGTAGGAACACTTTGTATGCTGAATAATGGATAATCTAATGAGAAACTGATATTGTTTCTAGAAAGTCTGTGTTACCCATTCTGTCAGAGGGATAATTTCCCCAAACTAAAACCAGTTAAATTAATTTTAGCAAAATGAAAAGGATCAGAACTCCAGCGAGACCTAGGAGCATGCAGATATTTAGGGGGGAAAAAAAAATCTTAGCATATCTTGCTAAACAAACTTCAAAATTGCTAGGTAAGAAAATCTTAACTTTGGTTAATGATTCAAAATTTTTACTGCCAAATTAGCAGATGTAGGCAATCTGCTAGGATATTACCCGATACTTCCCAAGGTAAAGAAATGCCTATAGGGGCTATACCCAAAACATAACAGCTAAACACTATAGACCTCTATTAATATTCTTTTCTTACAGATGCATGATTTAACAGCAGCAGTAACTCAGACCAAACACATTAGCTATAGCAAACAAGAGAGCTTTATCTAGCAGCAAAAACATTCAACTATATTCTAGATATTAACCCCTTATCAGATATATGGTTTGCAAATATTTTCTCCTATTCCTTAGGTTGCTTTTTCACTCTGTTGATTTGTTTCCCTTTGCTGCACAAAAGTTTTTTAAGTTTGATGTAGTCCCATTTGTCTATTTTTGCTTGTGTTGCCTATGCTTTTGGTGTCACATCCAAGAAGTCCTTGCCAAATTCAATGTCAGGAAGCTTTTCCCCTATGTTTTCTTCTAGGAGTTTTATAGTTTCAGATCTTACATTTAGGCCTTTAATCCATTTTAATAATGTTCCCCTACAAAGACATTTCTTTTATAAATTCTTCTTCCAGTCCTATAATTGACTAACTTATCCCTGTTTTCAGGGTGAAGTACTGTCAGATTCAATGCCTCAAAATCTGCTTCTAAAGGTATTAGCCACTTGTAGTGACACTCCATCTTACTCTTGGGGGTTTACCTCTAAAGTCACCATGAAAGTCAATAGTCTAAATCACCCTTGAAAAAGCCCTAAAATCGTCCACAGAGAAGAATATACCTGATTTTGGCTGTTTTGTATAATCCTGGTCATTAACGTTTATATAAATGTATAACATAATTAACAATGTACCATTCTATAACAATGGTAAAAAGAACACCATGCACACAAAATCTATTTTAAACACTAGAATCCCACTTGGTACAGCAAGATGTTCACTCTCTGGGAAGGATGTGGACTTTGGGACCAACTGAGGAAAAAGATTCAAGTCTTCCACACCTAATTCATTTCTGAGTACACGTTCTTTGAGTTTAGTGTCTAGTCTTCAATATTTTAACTGTTATTGAATTGCTATATTCTGTAACTTTACTCCATTCATATTCACCCCCTGGGCAAATTATTTTAAAGATGAGAATTACAGCTGCATGAGAATATAAAAATACTTCATAATGAAACTTCCAATAAATTATTTGTTTGATATACTTGTATAACATTTGTTCTCAGGTGCAAACAATATAAAATTTTAGGTTAATTGAATACGTATGGTATTCTATATCTCTATAAATACATCTATATTTATATTGATAGTGCTTTCCCATAAAGTAGTTTTGTTTTTTCTGAATTTATATTGTACCAATTACTCTGAGGATCAGTGATATACTCCTCCTATATTATCTAACTATATTGCCTGAATACATCAAATCTAAACCCTAGGACTAAAACTATTTAGCTCAGATAATAAATATGCTCCCCCATAAATGATCGTAATTCTTGAAATGCTCAAGTTGGAAAATCTACCCAAAAGTTAAAAAAAAAGCAAAATACCCTTTATTCCTTACATTTTTCATTATTTGTGATAAACCTGTTTTTCATGCTCCTGTTGTTTTAAAAGCAAAGGTCAAATAAAATAAAAATCCAACTCAAATAAAAATAAAATATCATCCAGGGAAACAGATTAAGAATCAACTGTAACTTGTATGAATAATATTTTTAAAGAAAGAAAAAAGAAATGGAAGTCTGGTGAAATGAGGTTAAAAAAATTTTAAGACAAGCCTCACAGTCACAGGGCACATTAGAAAAGATACAGACATTTGCTTACTCAATGAAGTAGATCATCCCTGTGTCAGTGTAGGCCATTTCCCAGTTTTTGGGCAGTGGTTCCAGATTCTCATCTCTCATCATATAATTTCTAAAGTCCATGGAGCTATTTGTTTGGTTGTAACTCGGGATGGTCTTCATCCAATCAGATGACTCAGAATGCCTCTCTCTGTTTTCTCCTATTCAAAAGAGAACAGCATGAAAAGTAGGTAAAGTTGCACCCTATTCAAACTGCCTGCTTCGTTTCTAACAAAATGCCAAATATTTAGTGCGAATTTACTTGTCTATTATGTCCACATTCTGCTACAATTTTTGAAAAAACAAATAAACAAACTGACATTTTTCATTTGCCAAGTGACATTAACCCTGTACAGCACCTCTGATGCTAGTCTGGGAAAGCAGCAAAAAACAACACTAGAATCAATTCAGTATATACTGAATATATATCACTCAATATAATACTATTAACAACAGCCACAGCAGCACTTACACAGTCCTTTTATTTGCCATGCTCTATTTTAAGCACTTTACATATATTAACTCATAATCCTCACAGCAACCCTGTGAATATATATTATTACTATTCCCATTTTACAGATGAGAAAACTAAGGCACAATGAGATTAAGGTAATTTAGTCAAGGTTATACAGCTAATAAACAACAGAGCCAGGATTTGAATCTAAGTGGTCCAGGCTCTTAACTGCTATACCAAGCTGCCTAGTACACATTTAACATAGGCCTTTAAAATAACACCAATTTTTAAAAATTATATTCAATAGACTTCTTGTTGTTAAATATAATTCTCTGTTGGTGATATTAAAATCCTTTTAGAGTCTCAAAGCCCATAATATAGGTAAGAATACTAAAATCTGGTTACTGTCTAGGGAGTTTACAATTCATGCAATTAAAACTTGTTTCTGGAACTTAAAATATAACTGTAACAATTCCAACTTGCAGGCAAGGCCTGAGAATCAGAGAATCTTAGAAGAGGCCTTAGATATCATTACATATCATTCCTTATAGTACTTCCACTCCAACCATCCTTTATCCAACCAAGTTCAATAATCCATTAATCCTACTACTTACTACCTATCACTGTTCCTCACTCCCCTCCATGCCCTAGCCATGTCCTCAGTGCCCTACTGACCCAACTTAAATTCCATGACCAACCACTATAATCACTCCCTTATGATTATAATCATTCCTGATTCCTTTGCCCCAACCTTACTTCATCATACTTGCCTGGCTGAGCCATAATTCTGCTTAAATCTCACTCTCCACCTACTCTACACCAGTGTTCACATGTAGTTGAACACAGACAACGCTGACTAGTTCACTTTTAATTCATGATCACTAACCTCAAGAGGGCATTTAATGATGTATGACAATCATAGGACATTTCTTTAGTCCATTCACTCTGACACCCTCCTGGATAACCATTTCATACCTTTCTTCTCCTTAAATCTTCTACTACTTCTCTTTTATCTCTAATCTCATTTGATGACCTTGTTTTCTATTACACTGAGCAAATAGAAGTAAGCAGAAGAGAACTTCCACAGATTCCCACCATCACATCTACACAGCAACTGTGCCCATGTACTCTACCTTCTGTTATCATGGAAAACTGTCTGTGCTTCTAGATGAGGCTCACTCTCCAATTATAAATTACATCCCATCCGCTCTTACCTAGAGCAATTCTCTGGCTCTCTTGTATCACCAATCTTCCCTATCTTAACCATATCCATCCACATAAAAACAAGTTATTTCTCCATTCTTTAAAAAGAAATTAAACAATTTTTCTCCCGTAGCAACCACCCCATTTCTCTCCTCTTTACACCAAACCTCCCTGAAAGAGTTTATACTTGCTACCTCCACTTCCACTCTTTCATTTATCTCTGGAACTCACTCCAAGAAGGCTTTTGATTTCTCAACAATAAAACTCTTATCAAGGTCAGCAATCACCTCCACATAGCTAAATCCAACGATCGATTCTCAGTGCCGATCTTACTTGAGCTATCAGTAGCATCTGACATAGCTGATAACTTTCTTCCTTGAAACATTCTCTTCCCCAGGCTTCTAGGACTCTGTACTCTCCTGGGATTCCTTCTACCTCACTGGCTCTTCTCAGTCTCCCTGATCTCCATATATTGGAGTGCCATCTCAGGGTTCAGTCCTTGGACCTTTTTTCTTCTCTTTCTAGACTCACTCTCTTGGTGACCTCATTCAGTGTCATTTCTATACAAGCTATATGCTGATGATGTCCAAATATTTATCTTCAGACCAGAACGTAGACTTTTAAATCCAACTTTAAACATGATATTTCCAGTTGGATGTCAAATGGACATCTCAAACTTAAATATCCCAACATGATACCACCCTTTCCCAACCCAAACTGACTCCTTTTAAAATCTTTCTTATCTCAATAAATGCAACTCCATTCTTCCAGATATCAAGTCAAAATCTTTGACTCTGCTCTCATACCCTATATCCAATCTGCTAGCAAATGTTATTGGCTCAGGCCACTTCTTACCTCTCATACTTTCATCAGGACCAAACCACCATTTCTCACTTAAATTACTGCAATAACCTCCCAACTAGTATCTCTGTTGATGCCCATGCCCTCTGACTGCCTATTCTCAACATAGTAGCCAGAATGAGCCTGTTAAAATCTGTTTTATTATGTTTCTCTTCTACTCAAAACCCTATAATGGTTTCTCAACTCAGAATAAAAAGCAAAATTCTTCCAATAACCTATAAGATCCCATATAATATGCATTTCCACCACCACCCCCCCCCCAATCATTATCTGATGGACCTCATTGGTTACTATTCCATTCTATTCTATTCCCTTCCATCTCTCTGCTCCAACCACATAAAATATATATAATATATATATATTGTCCACATTGTATCCAACTACATTGGTTTCCTTGCTGGTGTCTGAATATTCCAGACACCTCCTACCTCAGGGCTTTTGTATGTGTAATACCCTCTGGCTGGAATTTTATTCCCCCAGATATTTAGAGCTGACTCCCTCACTTCTTTCACAGTCCCCATCTTAGTGAGGTCTTCTTTGTCTCTCTATCTAAAATTGCAAACTTCGACCACAACTACTTTTTATTCTCTCTTCCTCTGCTTTGTTTTTCTCTTTAGCACCATCTAACAAAATTTATTTTATTCCTTTATTTTGGGTAATTCTTCTCTCCCACCAGAAGGTAAGGCTCATTAGACAGGGTTTTTGTCTGTTTCGTTCACTGCTTTATTCCCAGCTTTTGGAACAATACCTTGCGCTGAGTAGCCGAGCAGGTGCTCAATAAATATTTGTTGAATGAACAACTTGAATGAAACACACCATTTATTCTCTAGGCAGAAAAAGTGATAGAAATTCAAAGGCACCCAATGTATAAATCAATCAGGAAAGGAGTTACATATAAGTACGTTGCAGAAAAGCAAAAGCAACTATATGAGCTATAATACTTTTCTGAATATAATTCCAAGTGACTGCGTAAAGGAGTCTGCTTAATAGTCAATGACTTCAAAATATTTTTTATGTAACACCACCTCTTGGAAAAATTTTAGCATCGTTACATAACATATGTCATCCTATGTGGGCATATGAGCATTTTTACATTAATTCTTCAGCAAGATATAAAATAATATACACATTGGTATATACAAACAAACCTCTACCTATCCTCTCCCCACTTCCATCCCCAACAATTTTCTGATTTTTCAAGGCGGGCATTCTAGTCCTCAAAAGCAACACACAAAGCACATTTCCCCAACTTTGAATAACTTAACAACTATGGTTAACAGTTATTCAGAAAAGACCAAGGGTTTTTATTCATGTCTTTTATTATTTTTTCATTAAAATATTCAGAATATTTTTTCTTACAAAGAAATACATAATCCAGTGGAAGTGTCCTATGGTCTATGCACAAGAGGTAGCATACAGACTGCCTCCCACACACTCTTGGGTACATGCCCTTTAAATATTAACATCAAAGAGTATGTAACATCTGGTTTAACCACTGGCTTACATGACAAGCATAAACTATGGAGATTACAGATAGGTTTACCTCTCAGGGAGCTGCAATGGTTACTGAAAGGCTCTGCATTAGGAAGTGAAAAAAGAACATTTTCTTTTCCCCCAAATTGAGAACATATAAATTCCCACATTGGGACAGATTCATGGTTTCTAATCCCAGTCTTAAGCGTTTTAAAATGTTAACAGACTTAATTTTGTGGGAGAGAAAAGCTGACATCAACATCAAAAGGCTCTACGATATTATGATCTCCCTTAACAACTTCTAAAGAACTAGATGTGAATTCACCTAAACCTTTTTAGACGTGTTCTCACCTAAATATATTGGGGCAATTCATTAAACATTAAACTTATTATGTGGCATAACTATGTGATGTGTTAGGACTACAAAACAGGACTCTGGAGGGGGCCACAAACGATGAATGTATTAAAACAATGAATACAATATATATAGCAAATTTTAATAACTGATGAAGGAAAATGTCAGGATGCTTTAAGAAAACGATATGGTAATGGGTTCTGCAAATCTGGGGATATGATCAAATTCATTCATTTATTGAGTACCAATAAAATTTTTTTTTAGTTTCTACTATGTGCCACTGTTTATGGTGCAAGAGATACAATGAACAAAATGAGCAAAACTTCCAGCCCTTATGAAGCTTATATTCTAGTGTTTTGAATGGAATTATTATAATACATAGCGCTGAAATTAGTTCTGCTGTGATTCTGTGGTTTCCTACTTATACTCTCAATTTGAAGTGTAAGAATCTCCTAAGCAATCACCACATTATTTAGGGGTACTCAAAAGGAGAAAGTTCTCTCTCCACCACTAAATTCTGTCGGTTTTGCATTTAATGAAAAATATGAGAGTCGAACTTGGAAGTTTTCTTTGAGAGATTCAGAATTTAAACCCAAAATATTGCTAACAAACTTTTCAGATAATTTTTACTAGCATATTTCCAAACTTCTGTACTTTGGTTTGGTTGAAGGCTATATAGTCACGAGTCACTTAATGACAGGGATACATTCTGAGAAATGTGTCATTTTTTGTCACTGTGCAAATATCGTAGAGTGTACTTACACAAACCTAGATGGTACAGCCTCCTACACACCTAGGCTCTATGGTATTAATCTTACGGGACCACCGTCGTATATGCGGTCCATCATTGATCAAAACATTGTTATGCAGCACATGACTGTATCTTAAAACATCTACATTTCGTTCATAGCCTGTAAAGTAGGACTTAGGCCAACAAGATTCCTACATTCCAGCATCAGAAATGAATCTCAAGTCTTTTAAGCAGCAAGGTAATGGTATATTATATTACTACTAATGATAGCTTATTATTGATTTATCAAAATTGCCACTGGGGGCAACTCCAGCTTATAAGGTGATCGACAGAGATACACTTTGTTCCACACAAAACCTTTAAAAAAATTAGAATCCCATGACTTGCTTTTGCATATGAATATGGAATTATCTTTCACATAGTTTTTGTAAAAACTTGTACTAATTCCAATTCAGTGTCATGTTAAAGGCAATCTGGAAGATCAGTTAGAAATCATTCACCTATTTACAAACCTGCATTTCCACTGCCATTAATAGCTTCCTTGTCTTCATCTTCTTCCTCTTCAGGAAGAGAACTGTCCATTCTTTCCATCTTGCTGACAGATGTAGTTCGTTTTCTTTGGGATTCTGTGTCAAACTCATTATCAAAGAGGACCTGATCAACCGGATCTGGCTGGAAAGGGCTGGGTTCTGCTGGAGGCTTGGGGGTTCCATAGAAGTTTCCTGAAGTGAAGAAAATAACAGCAGCTGAAAGTACTAACAGTGAATCGAGAGTCAGAACAATATGACCTAGTGTGTCTCGGCCCTGTTATCTTATACTGAAGTTTTTGAATACCTACCATTGGCCATAAGGAGGCCAAAACACTTCTTGGGACAGGAGGAGGTAGAAAGAACAGAAAAAACTAACTTCTCAAATGCCCTTCACCATGTATTATCTAACATTATCTAACATTCTAATACTATTTGTACCAAAGCCAGGAAGTTGACTTTATGCATGTAGATTATTTATTCTTACAGGGCTTGCTTTGCATGGGTTCTAAATTAGGGCCTAATTTGTGAATTTAAATGCATCAATGCTCTCATGTAAGACTAATTGGCAAAAAAAGTGGGAATTAAGGAGGAGAAAACTAAAATAATTTTGTTCTGATATGTAACATAATGAACTATTTTGGTAAAATGAGGAAATATGTGGGCAAAGGATAAAGCTAAGGATTAACCAGTCTGTGTGGAAATGTAGGCTGTTTATATAAAAGTAATTTTTAAAAGTTTTTCTGAGCATTCTAATTATATTATTTTATGTGACAATTTATTGAACAAATAGAGACATTATTAGCATAATTCGATATTGGCTTACTCTTAGGAAAGCATGAAATACTTTAATATGTTAAGTCTTGAAGATCAGTAACTTTTACAGTAAAAATAAACGTTCCAGAATAGAATGAAAACAACTGAATATCTTCTCAATTTGTCATGCAGTTCCCATTAGGCAGCCAAATACAATGGGAAAGCACTCAGTAGGTCTAGCTACATTAACAGTTTGTGGCTCCTGCTGGTTTTGATCTTATATCCATCACTATACTAACATCATAGAAAGATAAATATGGTTAAGGAGTAAAATACTCATGATCTTCTTCTTTTCTTTTTTTTTTTTAAGTCACATATTCTAATCAAATTTCTTGGCTCCTAAGGAGGTAATTAAGATGCTCATTCACATAAGGTAAATTGATGTGGTATTTACTGGATTATTTTTCCTAGATGAAAAAAGGCATAGGTTGTTCACCATGACACTGAGGCAAATCTACAAATACCATAGTTTACCTTAAGTCATGTGTGCTTTGAGGGGGAAAGCATTAAGGTGAATTCTTCGAAAATTTGATTTGGGGCAGTAATGGTCACTAAAGTACTCAAGACAAAACAATGAAATCAAACTAAAAAACTTTTCCAGTACATCTTGCCTCTCGCCACTCAACTACTCCCTTGCTTCCAAATCCATGTTTGAAACGGAGTTACTCCTGTCAGGCAGATGGATTCTGCAAAGATTCCTATGAAAACAGACTAAAAGGATGTCTGCAAACTTTCTGGCCCACAAGTAAAGCAAAGAATCAGTGAAAAAGCCAGTTCACACTTCTCTGGGGCAGAGGGCACAGGAATGCTCTAAATAGAGGTTTTGCTGGGGAATGGGACGCTCTAGGATCTCTATTTTTTCTATATTATGTCCAATAATCACACTACCAAGGAATTTGGATATACCATGACAAAAGTAAAAAGTCTACTTTTTCTAAAGATGGTAGTTTTACTAGAAACACATTTTACTGTGTATTTTTAGTAATTATTATCCAACTCAAGGAAGTTTAACTTTTTCTAGGGTGAAGATTAGAAAAATCCAGGATATTATGATTGCTATCCATAATCACTACTAAGATTTTAGGACCTCATAATAAATTCCGGCAGTTTCCTTATTTAAAAAAAATTATTGGGCTTAGATTAAAAAAGGAAACTAGCATTGGTTACAGGTAAATTGGATCTATTTTTCTTGAGTTGTTGGTAAATATCAATATGTCAGATACAGCAAGGTATAAAACTATAAGGTTTGTGAACCCTGACTATAGTTATTAACAGAAAAAGTTTTTCATCTTTTGGAAGCTGTTTTGGAGCTTTTTCTTTTTCTTTTTCTTTTCTGAAGGCTTTTTCATTTTTACAATAGAACTATCAACTACTAAATATTTTAAACATATATAAAATCACAGACAATAGTATTAGAAACATCCTTATTTATTTATTTACTTATTTATTTATTTATACATACATCCTCCAAATATTAACTTTCACCAGATTCCTTTCAGGTCTCCTTTCTTTTTCTCTTTAAGGACATACATATATGGTCACATATACAGTGAGAGCCTTAACTTCTTGTCTCCATCATTCCCCCTCTCTCCCTGAGTTATCCTGAAGTTGAGATGTGTCATTTCTCTGCATACGTGTACATCTAAGACATATGTATACACATACATAACATATAAATACTGTTGTTTTCATAAAGTGTTTTTATAACATTTTATATCTTTTTTCTAAACAGTATACTGTACATACCCTTTTGCAACTTTTTTCCATACAATTATATTTCTAAGACTTATTCCTATTGATACATTGTAGATTTTAGTTCATTTAACTGCTGTATAATCCATTTTTATGAACAAAGTAAAATGTATTTTACTCATTCTCCTACTAAAAGAGAGTTGTTTGCATTCTCTCACTGTTTTAAATAGTGCTATAACGACTATTCTGGTACATGTCTACATATGCACATAGACTAGGGCTTCTCTAGAGTAGGCATATAGAGAGGGAACTGCTGGGTCAGAGTTCTGTGCACCTTCGAATTTACTAGCTATCACCAAGAAGCTCTCCAAAGCAATTGTATCATTTTATACTCTTGCCAGCTGTGTATGGGAGTTTCCATTTCCCACAATTATCAGACTTCAAAATTTTTGCAATCTGATGGGTGTGAAATGGTATATGACTGGTACTTCAATTTGCATTTCCTTTGAATTGAGCAACAGTAATTAATAATATATAATATGCCACTTTGTCATATACCATGTTCTTAACAAAAGAAAATATAGGAGAATATCTTTGTGATCTAAGGGCAGAGAAGGATTTCTTAAACAAAACTTCAAAAGCACAAATCATAGGGAAAACAGTGATAAATCTGTTAGACAAAAATTAAGGATTTCTGTTTAATGAAGAAACACAGGACAAGGTTTTAGGTGACAGAACGGGAGAAAATATCTATATCCAATAAGGGATTAATATCTAAATAACTATTTAAATATCTAAGGAATGTCTACAAACTGGAACGTGATTGAGATCCCACTTGTTAAAAAATGGACAAAGCAAATGAACAGACAATTTGCAGGAGTCCAAAAAACTAACAAGCATATGAAAAGATGCTCAAACTCTCTGACTACAAGAGAAACTAAAATTAAAACGAGATACTATTTCTACAACCACCAGAATGGCAAAATTACAAAGCTGGATAATGCCAAGTGTTGATGAGGATGTGGAGTCATTACTATAGCTCCAGAACCAAATCCTCATGCACTGCTGGTAGGAATGTAGACTGCAAGGCTATCCAAAACTACTTCATCAGATTAAGTATATGTATACCTTATAACCCAACAGTTCTGTTCCTGGGTATATATATTGCACAAACATTCTCACACAGGTCCATAAGAAGACGTGTGTTAGAACGTTTGTTGCAGCTTTATCTGTGGTGATGGCGAGTTGGAGGCCATCTGGAAGTCCATCACTAGCAGAACCGTTAAGTAAAATGCAGTGGATTCACAACATGGAGTACTATGCAACAGTTAAAAAGCAATGAATTACAGGCAAATACAGTATAGCAACATGGATGAATCCAAAAAAACATAGTAATAAGTGAAAATAGTTAAAAACTGAATGAAATATATAACACAGTCCAGATGTAACTAATAAATGCATGCACACAAGACACAATACACATTTTGCAAGAACACATACAAACAAAAACATACATATTAAACATATCAGAATGGTTGCCTATAAGAGGGAAGTGAATGAGAGTAGGCTATTTCCATAAAAATAAAAAATAAGTAGCTGTCATTTCCTCTGAGAAGTCTTCACTGGCCACCTTATCTAAATAAGACATTCCTATTGTTTTCTTTAAATCCCTGTTTTTGTTTCCTTCATAATATCTCAATTTATAGTTATTTTGTTTGTTTGTTTTTTGACTGCCTTCCCCACTAAGATATGGGATTTATTAAGGCAGTATCATTTCAACATTGTTCATCACAGTATCACTAGTCCCTCTTATAGCGCTTGGCACATAGTAGGTACTTAATAAATGCATTGTTGGATGAATAAAGAAGGATCAAATAAATGAATGAATGAATGAGTCATGGGAGCTGAGCCCAGCAAGGGTAGTTGGGTCAAAGTTAGCAGGCAAAAGGAAATCACTGAAGATTCTCAGGAGGAGAGAGACATGACCAGAGCTGTGCTTGAGGAAGACTAGCATGGTAGTAATGGGCAGGGTGGACTGGACAGAGGGAAGAAGCTGGAACAAATGAGATCACCTACAACAGCCTAGACACGAGCTAGTCCAGTGGGCCTACAATGAGGTGACGAAAGTGAAAAGAAAGGCATCGTGAAAGCTGCTACAAAGGAAGAAATGACTAGATTTGGTAACAGATTGGATGGGAACTGTGGGAAAAAGAAGGAAATAAATTATGACTCCACTGTTTTGAGCTCATAGTGCAGCCAAAGAGAGAAATTATGAAGAATTACTCTTTTGGATAGAACACAAATGCATTTTTGGATATGCTGAATTCAAGGTTAGATATTTACTGAAACCATCTCTAGGCACTGAAGATAATATTGAATAAGAAAGACATGATGTCTGCCTTCATGGAGCTTGTGGAAAAGTCAATTATAATAGCATGATAAAGCAATGATGGAAAAGTATAGGGTGCCATGGGAGTGGATAAGCTTGCCAGTGAAGAATGTTAGATAAAGGGGAAAAAAGGATCTAAAATAGAATCATTTAAAAATTGAAATTGATCTTAAATCTGTACTTCCTAGAACCAAGTGGGTAGAGGAAAGAGATATGAAAACCAATCATTCTGTTTTTGTTGTTTCCCCCTCCCCAGTCTGTATTATCTCTTCTCCAAGATAGTCAAGCTGTAAATAGATTTTTTTAAAGTGTACAATATTTGGATTCCCAACCACAAACAGAAAGCAATCAAAAAATACCTGTTGAGTTCATATGATGAATGCGAATTACTATGAAATATGCAAACTAGCAGTTTGAATGATTTTACTATATTGTTCACAATCAACTTTATAATATGATGGAATGCTTTTGCTTATTGTTTAATCCCATTTCAATTAATTAAAATTTCCTAATAAAAACAAAATTTTCCCAAAGACCAACAGAAAAAGCTTTTTTAAAAAATGGTATTTTACTAATCAAATTCCCTCTGGAATAATGCCAGTCATTCAGATAGTTTTCTGAGTGCTGTTGTTGTCAACATTTGGGGACATACCATCATACGTTCCACTTTCTAATAATGCTCCACTCTCTTCCAGTGCTTTGAACTGTTCAACAGAAATGAAATTATAGTCCACCCCTGGTACTTCCCCATCCCTGGGGGCCCTTGTAGTGCCTAAGGAAAAAAAAAAAACAAAACAAGAAAAAAATAGGTTGTAAAGTGTTTTTAAACTTACAAAATATTGAGAATAATAGAAAATTCAGTCTATAAAGAACATACGGGAGAAACAGACTATTGAATGTATTGTACCTTCTAGAACGAGGATCAGAAAATTTTAGGCAAGTTAACATTCCTAGGTGAAAGTAGGACAATAATGTAGGATGAGGAAATCTACTTTAATAAAATCTATGGATAGCTATGAAATTCAAAACTACAAAGACTACAAAAATTTTAGTGTCAAAGAAAGCTTAACTTTCCAAGATACAACAGTTATTTCTTCTTTTAAACCTCAATTATCATTACTTAACATTTGAAGGAGAGACAAATCCACCAATGATAGACTACATTTTTACAGAGCTATCTTAAATATTTTTTTTCCCTAGCACAAATGTAAACTAATATTCTACCTACTAGAGTCATGAAGGACAATAAGAACACAGAAACAATTTTTTAAAGTTCTTTTAATGAACTCTATTTTAAAAACTTGGACAAATATTAATTATGAAATTATTTTAGATTAATGAATCAAAGGCTTAAGGCTTAAGACAGGTATTCACATATTGCATCTTAGACATTACTCTCTTCAAGTAATTTCAAAAAATTAAGCAGTAAGTAAACTGCTTTAATGAAATTCACTACAGAAACACAGCACTAAGTTTGTATCTATTAAGGAATGCATGCTAAAAATCTTTCTTTCAGATGCAAGGTATAAATTCAGGTTACGGCAGCATTGCTACATTTGAATGAATTTTACTGAACAAGAGTCAATACTTTTATGAACTGATATTAGAAATGTCATTGAAAATACTAGAGAATACAAAAATGAGATCCAGGTATTCAGCCTGGAAATACAGTTGGGATATAGTAGCAAGTCCTGTGCAAGGATAACTTTCCCCACCTGTTCCTCCCCCCATGCTCCCTATTCATCCACAGCACTCCAAGCCAGCAACCTAAGAGTCAGTCATCTTGAGTTCCTTCCTCTACTCCACATCATCACCAAATCTGGCTGATTCCATCTCCTAAATACTTCTAGGATTTATATACTTTTATTCATTCTCACACTCATCTAATTCATATCATTATCCAATTGTATTGTTGGCCTGTATTGTTGGTCTCCTGGGGTCAACCCTTCTCCCTGGGGTCAATCCCACACCCCTTGCCCGAACTGCAGCCAGTGACTTTTCTAAAACAATAATCTAAGGAAAAAAATCTCTAAACCCATCAATGGTTTCCCATGATTCCTGGCATAGAATCCAGACTCTCCCTCTCCAGCTTCTTTCTTGCCTCACCCTTTTCACCTTCTAGGCTTTAGCCATAATAAATTTTTTTCAATTCTTTTAATGTTCCTTGTACTCACTTACCTCCAAGGCCTTTTGCCCAAGCCATTCCTTTCCCTGGAAGACTTCCTATTCCCTTTCCCACTCTTACCTCAGCTAACTCCTACGCGTTCTTCAAATCCAGGCTTAGAAAGTTTCTTTATAGAACCTTTCTTGATTCTCATCTAGGGTATGGCAATATGTAGAGACCACGTCTACTTGTTCAGAGTAATAGGTCCAAGTCTTGGCACAGTGTAAGAATCACAGTAGATACTCAATATAGATAGTTGTTAAATAAATAAAGTGAAATTTTACACAAATGTAATTAGCACAGTGCTTGGCAATACATTATTATTATTATAAATTAATTCATGGGAAACTATTAATTGCTCTTATGTTTTAGTTATATTACATTCTATTATATTCTGTAATATGTGAAAAAAACCCATAAAGATGATAAAAACATTAATAGTAATGATCTCATAAAATAATGCTTAAGTCGACATTCTAAACAACAAAAACTGTATTCAATGAATTTCCCCCCTTATTTTTACCCAACTTTTTATAAAAACGAGCATCTCCTTATCTGTTTTACATCACAGAGGATACAAAATTTGGAAAACATAACTTTTTTTTTTTTTTTTGTGAGGAAGATTGGCCCTGAGCTAACATCTGCCAATCTTCCTCTTTTTGCTGAGGAAGACTGGCGCTGGGCTAACATCCATGCCCATCTTCCTCCACTTTATATGGGACGCTGCCACAGCATGGCCTGACAAGCGGTGCATTGGTGCACGCCCGGGATCCGGACCAGCGAACCCCAGGCCACCACAGTGTAGCGCATGCACTTAACCACTTGTGCCACCAGGCCAGCCTCTCTTTTATTTCCTAAGACATTTTTTCACTGTGAAATTTTTGTTTCTCATATTTGACTAAAACTATATTGTTAGATTCCCCAAATCAACAGCTTTTAGCTCCATATTAAGTAAAATTTAACATTAGAAAATGAATTCAATGATTAAATTTAAAATTTATAATAATTTGTGGTAGATGGAAAAACACGGCCACAATATCTTGCACCTCTTCCCATCAAGAGATGGGGCCCGTTGCCTCACCTCTTGACCCTGGACTGGATTTATGACTTGCTCTGCATAATTTAATGTGGACATAATGTGCAAGTTCAGGAGTCCAGACTCCCATCTTCACCTTCTTGGGATGGTCCCACCACCATGTATGGAAGTCCAGGCTAGACTACTGCATGATGAGAGAGCCCCAGTCAACAAACAGCACCAAGACCCCAGACATGTGAGTAAAGCCATCTTAGTCCCTCCAACCCCAGTTGAACTGCCAGTGACTGCAGCCACATGAGTGGTCCTAATTGAGCTCACCATCTCATGGAATCATGAGAAATAATACATGATGGTTATTTTAAGCCATTAAGTTCTAGGGTAGTCTGTTATCCAGCAAAGGCTAATTGAAATATTATCCAAAAGCTCTACTACAAAATATAATGACTATGTAAAACCCGATTTAAGAGCAAACCTTATTATAAATGATACTATAAAAAGAGCACTGACCCAAGGGACAGGAGCAACTCTGTGTTTTAGTCTGGGATTATTATTAATGGTACAATTTTAAGCAAGCACTTAACCCTTCTGGGTTGCTTTCTCTTTCTGCAAAGTGGTGTTGAGCAAGATGGTGTTCATGATTCTTTCCATTAATAGATATGAAATGTTATGTGTGATTCCGATATATATACTTCCAAGACTTACAAAGTAGCTTTCATGTTAATTCTCTTTATAAATATAAGTATTATAAATTTTGAATTCCTCCCCAAAAAAACATGTAATCCCATACACACAAAAAGTCCTCTCCCTTACCCTGTCCTACCCCACTGCCTTCAGCATTCCAAAAAATTCATCTTTATATTTTCCTGATACTCTGTAAACTTAATATAAAGCTTTCTACATCCCTCCAGTCACCACTACGTTTCTCCTTTTTGCATAAAAATTTCTCCAACGAGTTCTGTTTACTCACAGTCTCTAATTCCTCTCCTCTCATTCTCTCCTGAGTCCATTCCAATCAGATCATTGCCCCAACCACTCCACTGAGACAACTTCTATTTTAATCCATAGTCTCCATTTTGCTTAACCCAATGGTCAAGTCTCAGTCCTCATATTACCTGACCTATCAACATTTGACATAACTGATCATTCTCCCCTTTTTATTTTATTCTGAAATACATAGGAAAGTACATATAACATATATGTAAAGTTTAACAATAATAAAGCAAATCCATCCAAGTGAAGAAATAGAACATTACCAGGACGTCAAAACCGCCAATCAAAAATGTCTCCCTCCCTCCACCCCCAAAGGTAATCACCATCTTGACATTGTGGTGATGATTTCTTTTTTTAAATGTTTTTACCAACTTAGTAATGCATTTCTAAGCAACACTTAGTTTTGCCTGTTTTGTAACTTCATATGAATGGAATCATACCATATGCATCCTTCTGTGTCCACATCAATACTTGTTATCAGGTTTTTAAACTTCTGCCAACATGCTAAGTATGTTAAGGCATCTCACTGTGTATTTAATGTGCAACTGCCTCATGAGATTAAACATTCTTTTCATATATTTACCAGCCACAGAGCTGTCTTCTGTTGTGAAGTGGCTGTTCAAGTCTTTTGCCACTTCTCTGTTGGGCTGCCTGTCTTTTTAAAATTGATTTGTAGTTCTTTACATTCTGGATACTACAGTGCTTCATCAAATCTAAGCAATCAATAGCTTCTAAAATGCACCATTATTTTATCCCTAAAAAAGAAAAAAACCTGGCAATTATAATTGAAAGATTCCATCTATTGTAAGATGCATTCCAATTGTAGAAAGGTTAAAATGTGAAATAGCTGTATCTTAGTATTGATGAAGCACTGCAGTCCTTTGTCAGGTATATGTGTTGCAAAAGGAATGTTTCTGCTAAAATGAAATATGCTTTCTGGAAACAGTGCTTTCTGCAAAATCATGCATCAAAAATAATAGAGATTTTGGAGAACATAGGGTCAGGGTTGATCTCTCAAAATCTATTGTAACTTTGTAACTAGAGCACTAGCAAAATCAGTAACAACCCTAATTAAAATAGTAATACAGTTTAAAAGTGTTAAATTCCTAATAAAAAATATTAGAGTAAATAAAATCACTTTGCCTTTAAAAACTGATTAAAAAAATGAAAAAAGTAGCTCAACAGACGGAGGTACAAGGACGGTTGAGTTGACTGAATAATGAAGATAAGGCAAAATGTGCAATAAACAATTGTAACATAAAGCACATGGTCAAAATGAGAAAATAGGCCAAAGTGAGGTGAATCACGTATAATACATGCAACATTCAGCTATGTTTGTCTAGTCTATGTTTACTTACTGCTACCTGATGATACACAACATTAGCTTGCTGGGGAAAAGAATAAGAACCAATATCAATCACCTCAGTTAAACTGACATCATTCTCCTACTTATTTACCAATCACGTATAAACCTATTTGCATTATAGAAACAAACGCTGTAGCAGAACAGACAGTATCTTCTCCCACTCTGTGATTTTCTTTTCATCATTTTTTTAATGCTGTTTTGATGACAGAAGTTTTT